TGAGTGCTTTAAAGGGGAAAAATCTCCATGGCGTTACAAGAAAAACTAATAGAAAGACCTCCTTTAGGTCAGGTGATGTTTAGGCTGAGGACTGAGAAGGTAAGGAGTGGGACAAGGCATTGGATGCTGTCTTGAATACTAGTCTAGGAGATGACTGTGGGAATGGCCAGGGAGAAACTGAGCTGGATTTTGAATGATTTGCATGATTGTTAGACAGGAAGGCCTAGACAAGGGACACCACAGTAGCAAAGACAAAGAGCAAAGGTAATGGGTGAAAATCTATCCCAAAATTCATGTGGAATCTCAAGGAATTCCAACAAAACAAACTTGAAAGGGAAGAAGAAAGCAGAGGACTCCTACTTACCTGATTTCAACACTTCTTATAAAGTTATAGTAATTAAAACAGTATGGTGCTGGCATAAGGACAGAGAGACCAACAGACTAGGATAAAGGGTTCAGAAATAATCCCTCACATGTATGGTCACATGACTTTTGACAAGGGAGCTAAGACCATTCATAGAGAATATAGTCTTTTGAACAAATGGAACTGGGAAAACTGGATATCCAAATGCAAAAAAATGAAGTTGGACCCCTACCTAATACCACATACAAAAATTAACTCAAAATACATCAAAGACCTAAACGTAAGATCTAACTCAATAAAACTCTTAGAAGAAAACAGGAAAAAATGTTCAAGACATTTAATTTGGCTAGAATTTCTTAGATATAACACAAAAGCTATAGGCAACAAAGGAAAAAATAGACAAATTACATTTCATAAAAATTAAAAACTTTTGTGCACCAAAGGGCACTATTAATAAAGTGAGGGACTTCCAGCCAAGATGGAGGCATAGGTAGACACACTGTGCCTCCTTGCACAAGCAAAAGAGGACAAAAACAAGTTTAAAGACACAAAAGTAACAACAACTGGAACTGGCAGAAAATTGAACTGTCTGAAAGTCCAAAAACCAACGAGTTAAAGAAGAAACATGCATCCAGACCAGTAGGAGGGGCAGAGATGGGCAGCCAGGCAGAGAGGACTCATAGCAAGGCAGCAGCTGGCAGACTAGGTAGACCCACATTTGTGTGCAGATAAACCAGGAGGAACAACTGGGGAGCAAAACAGACTGAGCAACCCAGGGTTCCAGTGAGGGAAAATAAAGCCTCAAGGCCTCTGACTGAAAACACCTGTGGGGGTTGAGGTGGCAGCAGGAGAAACTTCCAGCCTCACAGGAGAGTTTGTTGGAGAGACCCACAGGGTCCTGGAATGTACACAAACCCACCCACCCAGGAATCAGCACCAGAAGGGCCCAATTTGATTGTGGATTGCAGGGGAAGTGACTGAAAACTGGCAGAGGGTGAAGCAAGTAGCACTGTTGCTTCTTGGACCCCTCCCTCACATACAGCAAGACAACACAACAATGTGGGTTGCCCTACCCTGGTGAATACCTAAGGCTCTACCCCTTACTATGTAATAGGCATGCTGAGACCAAAAACTGGCCCAAATGATAGAACAGATCAAAGCTCCAAAAAAATACAACTAAGTGATGAAAAGGTAGCCAACCTATCAGATGCACAATCAAAACACTGGTAATCAGGATGCTCACAGAATTGGTTGAATATGGTCGCAAATTAGAGGAAAAAATGAAGGTTACGCTAAGTGAAATAAAGGAAAATGTACAAGAAACCAACAGTGGTGGAAAGGAAACCAGGACTCAAATCAACAGTGTGTATCAGAAGGAGGAAAGGAACATTCAACCAGAGCAGAATAAAGAAATAAAAATTTTAAAAAATGAGAAGAGGCTTAAGAACCTCCAGGACATCTTTAAACATTCCATAATCCTAATCATGGTGTCAGAAGGAGATGACAAAGAGCAAGAAATTGAAAACTTATTTGAAAAAATAATGAAGGAGAACTACCCCAATCTGGCAAAGGAAATAGACTTCCAGGAAGTCCAGGAAGCTCAGAGAGTCCCAAAGAAGTTGGACCCAAAAAGGAATACCAAGGCACATCATAATTACATTACCCAGGATTAAAGATAAGAAGAGAACCTTAAAAGCAGCAAGAGAAAAGAAGAGGGTGCCTACAAAGGAGTTCCTATGAGACTGTCAGCTGATTTTTCAACAGAAACCTTGCAGGCAAGAAGGGGCTGGAAAGAAGTATTCAAAGTCATGAAAGGCAAGGACCTACAGCCAATATTACTCTATCCAGCAAAGCTATCATTTAGAATGGAAGGGCAGATAAAGTGTTTCTCAGATAAGATCAAGTTAAAGGAGTGCATCATCACCAAGCCCTTATTATATGAAATGTTAAAGGGACTTATTTAAGAAAAAGAAAGTCAAAAATATGAACAGTAAAATGACAACAAACTCATGATTATTAACAACCAAACCTAAAACAAAACCAAAACCAAAAATGAACTAAGCAAACAACTGGAACAGGGTCAGAATCATAGAAATGGAGATCACATGGAGGGTTATCAGTGGGGGAGTGAGAAGGGGAGGGAGGAGAAAAAGATACAGAGAATAAGTAGCATAAATGATAGGTAGAAAATGGACAGGAGAAGGTTAAGAACAGTATAGGAAATGTAGAAGCCAAAGAACTTATATATATATGACCCATGGACATGAACTAAAGGTGGGGAATGTGGGTGGGAAGGGGTACGCAGGGCAGAGGGGAATAAAGGGGGGAAAATAGGACAACTGTAACAGCATAGTCAGTAAAATATATTTTAAAAAATGAAGTAAAAAGGCAACCTACAGAATGGGAGAAAATATTTGAAATTCATATATCTGATAATAGATTACTGTCCAGAATATATAGAGAACACCTAAAAACAACAACAACAAACCAATCCAGTTCAAACATAAGGAAGAATTTGAACAGACATTTTTCCAAAAAAGATATATAAATGGCTAATAAATGTTGAAGATTCTCAACATCACTAGTCATTAAGGAAATAAAAAAAAAAACAGAGAGCTACCACTGAAACTCTTTAGGGTGGCTACTCTAAAAACAAACAGAAAACAGTAAGTATTACAGAGGGTGTGGGATAAATTGAAATGCTGTATGCTATTGTTTGGCAAAATGGTACAGCCACTATGGAAAATAATATGGAGTTTCTTCAAAACATTAAATATAGAGTTGTTGTATGACTCCAAAATTTCACTTCTGTGTATCTACTCAAAAGAATTGAAAGCAGAGTTTCCAAGAGATATTTGTAGAGCCATATTTATAGCATTATACACAGTAGCTAAAATGTGAAAACCACCCAAATGTCACTGACAGATAAATGGTTAAGTAAAATGTGGTCTATACATATGGGAATCCGTCTGGAAAAAGTTCAGCCATTGCTAATATAACAAGAACAATCTGTGCCACATCAATGTAACCTGGCATCCAAGGAGAGTGAACTGGAATGTGCATGCAGATGATAACTTCACTGTATAAGTTAGTGGGGGTGATAGATGCCATCGAGTAAGCATGTGTATCGTGTGGCCATCACATTCAAAAGGACTGAACTAGTAGAGCAATGAACCTGAATCAAATTTTGCATTAAGATAACTATTCAGATGATTCAGAAGGCTTTTGGAGATGATGCATTGAGTGTAGTGCAAATAAAAATGTGGCACAAATGCTTCAAAGATGGTTAAGAATATGTTGAAAGTGATCAACACTCTGGAAGGCCTGCAACAAGCAGAGTACCTGAGAATGTAGAACGTGTATGAGCTACAGTCTACAAAGATCAAGATCAGTGACACAGTATGAGAACTAGAAGCTGATCTGGGGATCCCACTACTGTGTCCAAGATTTTGACACAGAATCTTGGCAAGAAATGTGTCATGGCAAAATTTGTTCTGTGGTTTCTGCTACCAGAGCAAAAGGAACATTGTGCTGCAATTGCTAATAACGATTCAAACCACTACCAATGAACCAGATTTCCTCAAGAAGGCGATAACCCAAGATGAATTATGGGTCTACTCATCTGGAAACAAAAGCCAAGTTATCCCAATGGAAATCACCTGGTTCTCCATGCCTGGAGAAGGTGTGGCAACGTCACAGCAAGATCAAGAGCATGTTAACTGTTTTTTTGATTGGGAAGATGTTGTCCATCACAAGTATGACCCTGCAGGCTAAACAATTAATAAGGAGTACTACCTCAATGTTCTTTATTGGTTGCGGGATGCAATATGATAAAAAATGGCCGCAGCTATGGGCAACTGGTAATTGGCAGCTTCATCACGACAACACCCCTGCTCATGCATCACATCTTTTGCAAAGTTTTTTTGTGAAACATCAAATCACCCAGGTGACTTAGCCCCACTGCAGCCCAGATTTGGCACCCTGCAACTTCTGGCTTTTTACAAAACTAAAACACCTTTGAAAGGGAAGAGATTTCAGACCATCAATGAAATTAAGAACAATACAGCAAGCAGCTGGTGGTGAATGGTAGAACTCTGTGAGGTCCCAAGTTGCCTACTTTGAAGGGAACTCAGGCATCATTGTCCTATGTACAATGTCTCTTGTATCTTGTATCTTCTTCAATAAGTCTCTTTTTTCATATTACATGACTGGATACTTTTCTGGACAGACCTTGTACATATTCAGCCTTAAACAGAAGGAAATGCATATATATATATGCTGCATCATGGGTGAACTTCAAGGACATTGTCTTAGTGAAATATGCCACTCACAAAGGACAGGAATTGTATGATTCCACTTAAATGAGGTTCTGAGAGTAATTAAACTCATAGTGACATTTCTTTTAATGTATAATGGTGGTTGCCAGAGGCTGGGGGAGAGGGAATTGGGAGTTAGTGCTTAATGAGGACAGTTTCAGTTTTGCAAGATGAAAAGAGGTCTGGGGATGGGCAGAGGCAATGATGGTACAACAATATGAATGTGTATAATACCACTGAACCAGGCATTTAAAAATGTAAATTTTATCTTAGGTATATTTTATAACAATTTTTAAAAAGATAATGGGATGTGTGCACAGGTCCAGGAAGAGACCATTTGGGCTTGCCTGGAGGATTTCACTAGGGAAGGAATAAAAAGTGAATTTGGCATTGTGGACTTAGACCAGATGTGCAAAGCCTTGGATAACAGAACAGACTGGCAGTCCCAGTTTGGACTGCAGGTGACACGCAAAGATGGGCACTTTTCCCTGGCAGGAGCAGATGAAGAGAGAACCCAGGTGAGCTAACCAGCACTGGAGATTGTGTGTGAGGTGTGTCTGAAGGCCAGTGAAGCCAGGGATTGAGGAGCTGGCCATGAGGTCTGAGTGGGAAAGGGTGAAGCTGGGAAGGGCGCAGGCAGGGAGACTGAGAGTCTCTGAGGTGGGTGAGGAGATCTAAGTGAGTGGCAGCGGTGAAGTCACGTGGACTGAGCTCTGGGCTCTGTGGGGACATCAGCATTTGAGGTCGGTGCCCAAGGAGGAATGCTGTCAGGAGAAACTGACATGGCCCAGAGTAGGCTGTTGCATTCCCAGGGGACCCTGTGTAAGTAATCATAAGGGATGGAGCAGGTCCCATGCTTTCTTTCAGGTGCTGACAACAGCCACAAACGTCACAAGTAGAATGTCTCCATGAGAGATTGAAGGATGGTCACTTGTCTCAACCCGAGAGATGGAAATGGTGACAGAGTGAAAGTACTGTCAGAGATGAGCCAGAGAAGGACACACACCACTGACCTGACAGTTTCCCTAGCACTTGGCTTGGACCGACCCTTACTGACCAGCCACCGGAGTGGGTTGTAGAGGTGGCTCTGGAGCCCTCTAAGTGGGTGACCATTAAAGGGCTGAGAAATCATGAGGGTCACCCCCAACTACTTCCCTAGCCTCTGGTGGCCACCATGACACCTTCTGTCTCTTTGAACTTGACTCTCCCAGATACTGTGTATCTGACTTAGGAAATGAAAGGAGTTTCCTGAAAAGCTCTGGGCTTGATTCTTTGTCTTAAAAGCTCAGCTTCTCACAGTGGCTTGGAAAACTGACCTATTCTTTGCTTTGAAGATTGAAAGAATGCAGTGTGTGTGTCCATGACTCTTTGGCCAGGAATCCCCTGAACAGAGCAAGTGCCAAACAGAGAGGAGCCTCTGGGCAGCAGCAGAGGGAGCACACTCTACTGTGACGTGACCCATGAGGTGGGCAGAGGTCATGAGACATCTACTTCCTGTGGCATTGGGGAGATCATCCAACCACACTGGATCCTCCTGAGGTGATGGTCAGGGTCAACTGGACAGGAAGACTCAGAGTCTTCCAGAAATGATGGGACATGAGCTTGGGTGAATAAAGACAATGAGGAAAACCAAGGGGGTCCTTCATGGCCACAGTGGGTGACAGAAGAGGGTGGCTATAGACTTCAGCCAGAGAGTGTTGGCCCTGGTTCTGGGCAAGGGTGTGGGAAGTAAGAGGATCATTGAGGGAAGTCTTGATGAGGGGGTATATGGTCCCCATGAAGGAAGGACCCATGGCCCATGAAGAGGGTCTGTCTGGCACCGAATTCCAGAAGGCACTCACATAGCACACTGGGAGAGTCACTCAGCTCGTGCTGTCACTCTCATCCAGCATGCCTCACTGTCCCACCTCTGCCTAGTGAGGTTCTATTTCTCCTCAGCCAGGCTGTGTCCAGGCTTTGTTGGAATGTCTTCACCCCAACTGCCTGAGGCAGAGTGAACCACTCCTGCCTTTGTTCTGTGGACACAGATCCAACAGGCACTGGGTTTTCACAAACTTGCACTTAATCATAGGTCTTTACTAGGGCTCTGTGGGGGCTTCCTCCCAAGTTCAGAACAAAATGAGAAGATACAGGATGGGCAGATGGAAATCATATGTTAGCTTTATAGAGGCAAGATAAAGTGGCTTTTGATGCCTCTTTCCAAAATTGATGGATTAGCTGCCTGCTCACTGCCTGCTGACCTCTACCGCAGGGGTGCAGCCTGACCAATCAATGGACCCCCCTGCCCAGAACAGGGCAGGCCAGAGCCACACTGGAGGGACCAGAGGGCACTCAGCCTCTCAAGCCAGTACCATCTCCCAAACTCATAGGTGAGTGAGATCTGTCCTCTCATGGAAAGGGGGGGGATGAAGGAGAGGACAGGAGGGGGAGCAATAAGGAGGAAAGGACAGAGGGAGGAAGGGAGGAGCAAGGAGCACCTTGAGGTCCCACTCAGGCAGGAGCACCCTGGTGGGAACATGAGCGCAGCAGCAAGGCCCACCTGGACTGTCTTCTGCTGTGTGAGAATTGCCGTCTCACTTTTTATCTGAATGTAAGCTTTCCCCAGCAGCACCCTTGCCTTCCTCACCTTGTTTTAGGCATTTCATGGAGAATTGGCACCTGTTACTGCCCAGGATGGGGTTGAGCAAGCAAACGGGAAGGAAGTAGGAATAATCCTTTCCAGAACTTAGGGTTGGAGATGCCTGCATCTCCCATTCTCTGGCTGCTAGGATGTGGGCCCGGGGTGCTCTGCTGCCTCCTGAGACCACAACCAAAATGTTGTTGATGAGAGGTTCGGGTTTCCAGAGAGTTCCTCACGGCCTCTAGCCTGGCCTCTTTCTGACCTGGATCTGCATGGCCTGGAGCCTGGTTGTCTTGTCCAGCCCTGCAGGTCAGGGCCTAGTGGCTGATCTCTGTCTGCAGGGATTGGAGCGTCTTATGCCTGCCATCTGCCCAGGGCCTGGGCACTGTCACCTTAGCTTCCCCAGTCACTCTCATGTCAAGTTCAAGGCAGCAACCTGTCATTCCTTTCTCAATGGGGACTGGTCTGCTTCTTCGCTGGTGGTCGAGGACGAGGACCCACTCCCCTTTTACCAGTCCATCCGGTCTTGGCTGTGTTGGGACTGACTCAATGAAGGAAAAACGCTTGCTGAGTCACTGCCACTTCCTCCAACACCCATTATCTCCATTAATTCAGGCCTCCCATCCATGTGGTGAATCACCAGCCTGAGATGGAAAGTGAGGGCGCACCCCAGATGCCAGGGGGATTTAAGAAGCACAGCTCGGTCTCCTTTTTGCAGAGCTCACAACACAGGGCCCCTCCCTGCCCTGGTAGAAGATCATCTTCCTTCTATTTGTCTTGGCATAAGCATTTCATATTCAAACACATGTCTTGACCCTGCAATGGGGAGGTTTTTGGAAAATACTTCCCTCTCAAACGAGCTCTCATTAAAGTCACTGGTCCTGCAACATTTTTAAAAACAGAGAGTGTACTTATGTGAATGCCAGTTATTGAAATACTAGGGAAGTTTAAAATAATTAACCTGTTACATGAAAGCTCTCTTGGGCATATATTCAAATCAAATTATGCATTTCAACCTCACAAAAGGCTGAGGTCTTTCAAACCCTGATGTGGCTACTTCTTAGCTGTATCACTTCAATGGAGCCTTCTGGGTCTTTTAAGCCTAGTTTGCTCATCTGTGACTTAGGGAAGATCACTCCTGTTTTAATAGTCTTGTAGAGATGACAGGATGTGCCTGGAGAAGGGACAATAGAATCTACTGAGGCCACCTCTGTGCCAGCTGCTCTGTAAAACACTGTCTCATACTGATATTTTTTAAAATTAGCCTGGATACTTACAAAGTTATACAATATTGGTTATTTTTATAAGTTGTATAATAATGAAAATAACTGTGGGGCAAGTCTGTTAATATCTCTGAATTTAGTTTCTTTATCTGTGAACCTGAAATAATTTCAGCAAACTCAAAGGGTTGTGTAAGACTTATATGAGCTCTCAGAGGTAAAGATGCCAGGTAGAAGTTGTAAAGAAGCTTTCAAAGAATAGATATGAGCATTCATATTAATGATATATTTTTAAATTGCGGCTTGATAATAACCTCTGTAGTTTTCCCAAGGGGCAATACCAGTCTGGGCAGTGGCATCATTAATGACATAGCTAATGACAGAAGATCTATGTATCCTTTTATCCATCCCAGGCTTTAAATACATCCTCTGGTTGGATCACACTATCAATTTTAAGAGGGCTCAGAGGCTGCCACCCCAAATTTCTGGAGGCAGAGCTCTGCTTCTCTGAAAATAGGTCTGAGTGGATTTTTATGTTTTTGTTTTTAAGAAAAACATGCTTTGGGATCTTTTATCTTGAGAATCCTGATTCTCATGAAAGAAACTAAAGTAGACACTGTTTTAGTATTCATTCCACAGTGAATAGTTTGTGCCATGTGAGGTCAGCTCAGGAAATTCTGAATCTTCTCGGCAAACCTGAGAGCTGGCAGCAGGGGAGGTGTCCTACCCAGGGAAAGAAGGGGATTTGAAGGAGGAGGGGAGGAGAGGGAACCGCAGAGAAGGAAGGAGCCACAGCACTCGGGAAAGGGAGCCCTGGGAGAGCGGCTCCTGTGGGAACTGTGTCCCTGTCCCTATGTCCCTGCTACTCAAAAGAAAAGCTAGCTTCCTCTGGACACTCTCGGGCCTCACTCAGCCGAGAAGTGCTTCCATATACATACAGCGACCGACTGCCAGCTGTCACCATCTTCCTGCCTTCAAATGGGTCTTGTGTGCCAGGAAAATCTGGCCTTCGTCCTGGCCCCAGAGTCCCTGTCCACAGCTGGGGCTTGTCAGTTGGGTGATCCGAGGTTACGCTAAGTGGGTTTAGGGTAAGGTACAGGGGATATCATGGTTTGGGGCTACACAGAGAACTGTGTCCTTTTTTTCCCTTTTTCCTATCTGATAAGGGCTACAGAAAACACTCTAAATATTGTTGAGATTAGAAAAGATCACTGCTAGTGTACCACCAGATTCAAGGCAAAGTGATTTTCTAATACTTCTTCCCTAGACTTGACCAGACTTGAACGTGACTCTTTCTCACAGGGCAGGGAAAGACAGCTGAGTGCTCAGACCTGCCTGATTAGTTTACTGTTTATGGCCAATATATATAGGCCCAGGGATTTATTTTGGTGCATTATAGCTGTAATAAAAGAGGATGGAGACATGAACAGTTGTTTGATGTATGCTTGAGTCCAGAATATTTTTAACATGTTTGTGATCAGTCAGCATCTTCCATGTTGAGAAAAGAGATCTTTTTCTTTTTTCCCTTTAAAAATTATGGTAAAATATATGTAACATTAAGTTTATCATGTTAACTAATTTTAAATGTACATTTCCAAGTACATTCACATTATTGTATCCATCTCCAGAACTTGTTGTTTTCCCAAACTGAAACTGTAGCCATTGAACGCTAATTCTCCATCCCCTG